TCTGAGTTTTGAATTCGTTAGATGTTTTAATGGAGATTTGTACTGTTGGATGCGGGTGGAGGTTGGAGGGCGGGTGTTTGACGCATAGAGCCTGTCAATTTCGCTTTCAGAGTGTCGCAGTCAGCGGTTTTATGATTCGTGAGCGCTCACGATTCGTAGAATCGTTGATTGTGACTGCAAGTGGATTTGACGGGTTTTGTGTGTCGGACGCTTGCTTTTTGGCCTCTTCTTGTGTCTAATATGTGCAGAGTATCATTATAACGTCTAATGGTTTTGAGATTCCTGGTGGCGTGAAATATATTTGTGAGAATATCTTTTTGAGATTTTAGCAGTCACGTTTTGTTTGTAGTTTATATTTTATTTATTTCATGTAATTATCGTAAATAATAGTTATTCAAAGCGCTGTGGATTATAAGATGCTCGATGACCCTCGAGGGATCGATTTTGCTTACTGAGCAGAAAATCATGGATTTAACCCCAAGCTCTTCCACAGCACAATAAATCGCCACCATCATTTGTATATTTGATATTAAACATTAGCCTCGGAAACTATTTGCATATCAAGCGAAAACGTAGTCCTGTATTGTCGCGAAGCGTTATGGTTCTGAGATGCTCGATGACCCTGGAGGGATCGTTTTTGTTTACTGAGCAGAAAATCATGGGTTTAATCCCAAGCTCTCCATCATGACTCTTAAAATTCATTATCACTAAACAAAATTAATATGTTCTTTCGATAGCCGGCTATCGAGAGATTAAATAAACAACAAATAAACAAAACAATACATACTTTTGGTTGCATCGCCAACTTGAGGTGAATCCTAACCGAATACCCTACCCAACCCTCCAACTCCGTAGCACTTATGAGGGTGTCGCTAAGTCGGTGGCCTCTCGTTAAGTAAGTACTACATCAACATTTCCTTCCCTATCCCTAGTTATGGTAAAGATGGGCGTGGCCGAGAATAGCGACAGTCATGCTTCTGTTACTCTTGTTTAGATTGGAACCAATGTTTACTCCCCAGCATTATTCCTGAAAGTAGTCTAACTGAGAATTTCAGAAGAGACGTGAGTGTCGCTAGTATCCAATCTACGAAGTATATCATAACAACGCTAACGCTAACGCTAACGCTATCACCGATTTCTCATCCGATGATAGTGACAGATGTATCTCTGTAAATATCGCGTGAAATCATTCATTGAAAATTCCAATTCAGCTTAAACAACTTATCTTTATCCAATTCGAAGGTACAGTGATGGTGGAACCCATATGTTACATCAAATGCCTATGACATTGCTGTAAAGTGGCACCCCAGGTTTCCATTACAAGGTTAAGTGTGGAGGATCACATTGACAGCTTCCGGATGTGATCCAGATGCCTCCGAGGAAGTGGGTGGATCCTTAATTGAATCAAACACTGGATTTTTTTTTTTATTTTCCATTTTCAAAATTCTATGACCAAAAGAAGTAATCGTAAAATATTTAGAAAATTCTGAGACTTTAAAAAATTAACAAGATCTTGGATTTAGTCAAAGTTTATGATTCAGAACACTGGTTGGCAAAGCGGAACTTTTGACCATTTTCAATTAATTGTACACGCAAAAGACATTTCTTTTACATCCAATGTAAGGTTGGATTTATTACATCCTCTGCATATGTTTCATATAACAAATGTAAGGGCAGTTCTTACATTGGACTGCTTCATGCAAGCAAGTTTTTCCAGAAGCATATTTTCGTATAAAAACTTCACGAGATGATTTTCTAGACGCAATGCATTTGGGAAAACAAACTTTTTTTTCAAAAATTAAGCTAAAATAAAAATAACAAAACTATTTAAAATAAAACCTCTGCCGACCATATTACATAATCTGTTCATGAGGTCAAACATTGCAAATTATGCATTCTTCTTACTTCTTACATTCTCCGGTAGGGTGTATGATTTTCACTCCATGACGATGTTTTAAAGGAAAAGTTGTTCGTAGAATTACGTCGGTTTGTCTGTCCTAATTGCCATTACTTTTAAAACAGAACGATCATGTTCAGATAAGTTTAAATCTGCTTTCAAATAAATTGCAGTATGTCATCATTAAATATTACAACCAGTGTTCACTCGGCTGTCGACAAAAGCAGGCCACTCTCGATGTGTGTCACACGATCATCTGTTTTCTCGGCAGCAACCATTTTGTGATCCTCCTCATTGTTCTTCATCAGTAGTTCTTTCAGTCAATGCGTCGTCAACTTCGGAAGGCAACCATTTCGTGATGAGTGTGTGAGTGATGACCACGTTTTGCGTTCATTGCTGCAATGGAAGCGCTCTGACCCCCGTTGGCAATACTGCCATACAATGAAACCACTGGAAGCGGCTCCCGTTCTGATGGAGGAGGCTTTTTGGATAGCGTTGTGTTGTATTGTATCTTTTGACTATAGTTTTAAGATGTATTATATAGTGACCAAGAATACTCGACTCTGGAAAGTTAATTCAATTGAGCCTTATCAAATAAATTAATAAACAACTAAATATTACAACCATGTGTAAGTAATGAACCCTTTCATGTATCAGTCCATAAGTGGAAAATTGATCATAGCCAAATCGTTCAATAGTCATTAGCGCACATGCAAAAATCATTAGATTATCATCTACTAGCCCATATGCTACTCACACTGCTGCACACTGATTACAATCGACCAGAAAGAAAAGAAAGTAAATCCCGAAATTCTCACGCCAATTGTGCCCATTTCCCTGTATCACCAATTCGTGCTGTGCTTTAATATATTAACGTCTCTTTAAACTGATCACCTGCAAGACGCGAAGGAAGTTCATTCGAGACGGCACCAATTCGTGGCTCCTTTCGATGATCTACATAACAGTAGTGCTTTAGAGAGCGCGAACCCTTCTCTGCCGTGTTGAACAACAACGCTTTGCTCGTAAACCGGGGGCCAAAAATCATTCAATTGATCGCTCCTCGTCCATCTCAAGTGTCGATCTTCATCTCGTTTTTTGTTTGCCTTTTTTTTTCCTGGGACCCATCCAGCATCATCACTCGTCTCGCGCAGTCCCACGGCCGCCGCCGGCAGAGCCCTCTTTCCCCGTCGCTGATTTCAGAATCATACCGGATTTTATTGACGCGCTTACTGTACCAACAATTAACGTCATTCAACGGCTCCACGGTCCCGCGGGACCACCTGACGCACTTAATGACCGCTGATGCTGGGGCTGCTGCCGTTGTACCACTACGGTATGCTCTCGTACGTCAGCCTTCTAACTAGCGGGACCCATTCGAGATTAGATTAGCTTTTTCAAATGATTTTATTCCCATTCCAATCGCCGAATGCCGTCGCTTCTTGTGCATCCCCCCCCATCCTTGGGATGGCAAAAGGGGGTCTCAATCAGCGACGAAAAAATTGCCCATGGACCGGTTCACTCAGGAGAAATTATTTCCACAGCGGAAAAGCCCTGCTCGCAGTGCGCGATGAGAAGAGAACAGCTCACCCCCTGGGCAGCCGCTGATAGCGATAATAATAATCAATTCATTTGATTAATATTATAATAATTATTATTGCCTTTGTCCCAATCCGAGCGGGGTGCAACCCTTCGGACCAATCAATCGGTAAAAAGAAATTAAAACTCGTAAAATAAATTGAGTCCCCATGGTTTCCATCGTCATCGTCGGCGTCCCCCTACACCTGTGAGCGTGCTGAGTAAGCCACACAATCGAAATGCAAGGGGACCCGAGAGTCAGTGATCGCGCGCCGCAGCCCAATAATGGCAATAAAAGCGATCATGGTGGTAATCAATTTGGATTTCGGCGTTCCCCGCGCGTGAGTTCCTTCGAAACAGGACAGAGACGGAATCGAAGATGATCGAAATCCAATCAGTATGAAAATTATCTTCGATTTTTGACCGAAGACATTACGGACACCTTCGAATGGGGTGGACCCAGAACCGAGAAGAATAGTACCAACCAGTTAGCCGGACCAATTCTTCCCGACCGAAATCAATAAATTAGAGAATTAGGCCAATATTTTAATTATGGGAATTTAAATAATTAAGATATCTAGCCAAAGGTTCGTGGTGGCGACGGCGGCGAAGGTTCGTTGATGCTTTTAATTGGGATGGTTCGGATTCATTCCCAGCGTCCGTCGTCGTCCACTTGCGTGCTCTGATTGGGAATAAATGGACCCGAGGGAGGTCATAAAACCTGGACTTACCGAGACACTAATTAAGTGAGAAAAGATATGGCTCTGATAGGATTACGCGTCACGTCGTCGGTATATTGATAATGGGGTTGTTGTTCGTGTCCACCGCACCGATCGGTGTGGTGTGGTGGAGGTGGGTTATCGAGTAGCGGCTCCCGCTAGCGATGCCATTTTCGGGGTGTGAAGTTAACTGTATGTTGTTCGGGCGGTGGATCTGGCGGCAAGCGATTCGATTGTGGGATGAATAATTTTGTAATTAGTTGATTTCCGATCTTGTAGTGACTCGGGAAAGCCGATCACGCTCGTAATCGGGGATTGGAATTGATAATTATCGGGTGAAGATTCATTCGATTGGAGCGCGTAGGAAACTGAGGGGTTAAATTTTTGTCATCCTTTTGGTGTTAATATGTCAGGATTTATAATATCCTAAGTAACAGTGCAAGTTTTATCGAGGTTTTTAAGCATTCCACAAGTCAAAAGCAGTTGTTGAATAATTTGTATTCCATAATGTTTAGCTCATTTCTGTAAATGCTGTGACCTGGACTATGACAATAAATGACACACACACACATAACATATTTTATCCAGATACGCTCACAAATAACTCCCTTTATTATTCATTAAATAAATATCAAATCAATCAAGAATCAGTTGTTCTGTTATAATGGCACTGAAGCTGCTGAGCATAGAAGACTATATAATTAAGTTCAACGTTTTATCAAGACGAAATTCGATGCTACCAAGATCAACTTTGACGACGAATCAACATTAACTAACTTCTTCACCCTCTTTCTCCATCTCTTTTCCAGAATTCCCCTGTTCGTCGCTTCGGCCAGTAACAGCATCACTGACCTAATGACTATGGCGGATGGTAGCTATGACCCAATGGGGCACATCCAGACGGGTCGTCAGCATCCTCACTCGCACCATCCGGCTCATCATCACCATCACCATGGTAGTACCGGTGGCGGTGGCGGCGGCGGCGGTGGCGGAGGTGGTGGCGGAGGTAGTGGCGGTTGCAGCGGGGCCGGCAGTACATTCCTACAGCTAGAACACCTGCAACAGCTGCACCAGCGCTATCAGCAACACCAACAACAGCAGCAGCAGCAGCAGCATCAACAGAGTCAACAACCTTCGCCCTCTAGCTTGGAGAACAACAACAACCTTCCCTCGGCGGCCAACCACAATCTGTTCCGATCGGAACAGAAGAAGCACAAACGGAAGCGACTGTCAGCGGTGCTGGACAAGTTGCACCACAACGGATCGGCTGTGAACCACAACAATAACAACGTCGGTGAAGGTAGCATTAAGATGAAACGCTCGGAGTCCCGTTCCAGCACGGAAGACTCCGCCGAAGATGTGTTTCCGTACTCAGCGAGCCCTCGTATTAGCATAAGTCCCCTCCGTCTGAACGAATCGGACGAGAACAACATGAACCAGGTTCAGATAAAACAGGAACCGCAACAGTACCTCTACAAACAGCTACAGTACATGAACCCGCTAGCATTCTTCAACTACTTTCCGCAGCAAACTAAGCTCCTGTATCAGGAGATTGCACGACAGCGGAGTCACTCCGATTCCGACCTACAACAGTTGCCTCAGAAACTTCCGGAGACTGCACCGGCGGCACCTCCCGAACCTCAGGAACCTCAAGAATACCCCTTGGATCTGTCCATGAAATCGACACTGTTGCACAGTTCTCCTAGTCTAGACTCTGTGATCAAACAGGAACCGAAGTTGACCTTCACTCCGCCCCCTCAACCGCTGCCATCGATCGTCAAAGGTGACGTCGCGTCCAATAACACCAAAAAGTCCGCAGCTGCCTGCTACAATCTCAACGTGTCTCCCGTGGTGGAAGAGATGCCACCCGGTTCGGACGTTGCCTACATGTGCCCCGTGTGCGGTCAGCTGTTCTCGCTGCAGGACCGCCTAGCCAAACACATGGCATCCCGCCACAAAAGCCGTTCCAGCTCAACAGACATCACCAAGTCCTACATCTGCGAAGTCTGTAAACGATCGTTCGCCCGATCGGACATGCTCACCCGCCATATGCGTCTGCATACCGGCGTCAAACCCTACTCCTGCAAGGTCTGTGGTCAGATCTTCTCCCGCTCGGATCACCTGTCCACGCATCAGCGGACCCACACCGGCGAAAAACCGTACAAATGTCCACAGTGCCCGTACGCTGCCTGCCGGCGAGACATGATCACACGTCACATGCGAACGCACACCCGCTACGACGCGCAACGCAGCGGAAGTTCCAGCGGGTCTCCAGCCGGAAGTCCCGCCTCGATGGACCAGAAACCGCTACTACTGCCGGTGGTCAGCCTCAGCTCGGGCGCCAGTGCTCGGGTCATCAAGAAGGAATCGGCCTTTTCCACCAGCCCAGGAAGCTACGTTATCGAAACCAAGACTGAATCCTAGATGAACTCACTCTCAAACACACTCACACACTAGCGCAGACAAAGATATAGATACAGAGAGAGAGAAAGAGTAGTTTTCAGTGTTAGTAGTTCCCATCTGCATTCCTAGTTTCCTAGCAGTTTTACTCTTCCTTCATTAGTAGTTGTGTTTCGGTTTGCCAATCTCTTGTTGTGTTAGTAGGTTTAGAGTTTCCTTTCTTTTTTAACTATCCAAGCAAAATGTATTCTAAGAAATTTGAACTATTCCCGAATTCATTCCCAAAATCGTAGAAGTTTTTGAACGTAGGATTAAATCTCTCCCCTGTTTCCCCATTGAAAATACTGAACATACAACAAAACAGAAAACAAGAAGAAATCTCAAAGGTTGTGAATTTAAAAAAAAACTAGAATAGAAGATCTTTAGTCGTTAGTTGAACGAGATCGTGCTTTCGTTATTCGCGTACTTCATTTCATTAGCCCATCTAACTCCCCTGTCCCCTAGTCCCTAGTGATTTCAAACGAAGGCGTGTGCCCCCACCTGCACATGTCCAAGATTTCAGAAGTGATGCTTGCCACGACGGTAATTAGTGATTTCCAGTCTCGAAAACATTCCCCTTCCTTGATAGATTCCGGTAGAATACTAGTGACATCTGTAGGTAGAAAGCAAATAGCACTCAACTCGAATAAAACACACACACACACGCTCACACACAGATACTGAAACAACAAGAAACCAACCCAAAAGTACGCCTTGAACAGTGTGCCTTATTGTGAGTACGAACAACTACACAAAGAACTAGAGAGAAGAACACTTTTTTACCGTAGAAGAAGAAAAAACCACACACCCTACCCCCTCCTCTATCCTACCCATAGAGTTTATCCTCCTACACCGATCCAATTCCGGAGCATTTCCTTTCTTGCCCCAAGGGGGATGGAAGTCAGGAGCTCCCAGTTCCCTGCCACCTACGCTTCCGGTTGATTTCATTATTACTACACCACCGCCATGTGCTAATACCCGTTGCAGCTACTACTACCACTACTACTAATGGATGGTGGACCGGGTCCGAGGATCAGACCCCGGGTGGCGGTGGTAGTACACACTAGTCAAGTTAGGACCAGAGCAGTAACCGTGCCACAAAGGGGCTATATATTTATGATAATTATCTCAAGAGAGAGGGAAGGAAGCGAAGGAAGGACCGACCAAGCAAATGGTCCCGGAGCCATTGGCCATAGAGAGCGAGAGAAAGAACGCAAGACAAAAGCAGAAAAACTGCTGCATGATCTTAATTTAAATTTTCAATCATGCAAATTGAATATTAAAGCCGGGGAGGACTTGTTGCCTCGGGTTTTTCCTTTCTAGCACTACTGAAGGAAGTACCAGCTAAACGGAATGAATGTATGTTTTCCGAGCCCCGAAGCTTTATGTTTCTTTTGTTTTATTTTCCATCGTTATTTCCTTGCCTCGAACCTTCCCCCGAGTTGCCCTTTTGCAGTCGCCGCAGCAGCAACAGCAGCAGTTGCGGTAGAAAAATTCTTCATTTCCGACCACGAAACACCCCCGCAGTATAATCAGTTTTACGCCGCCGACGACGACGACGTCATTTGGCAGATTGTCAGAATTTGTAATACCTACATATACCGCTACTTGCGCTAATTTTTATACAATCAGCCAACGAAGGAATGTGTCCTGTGTGTTGGAGGTGGTGGTGGAGGAGCCATCGCGTGCGAATGTGGGAGGAAACTAATCATTTACGTGGACATCAGGGTCACACGGGTCACGCATGCATATTTCGTTCGTCACGGTATGTCACGGAACGTTTTTTTTTTTTCTTGATACACTAGGGTGTCCCTTAAACGTGTGGCTTGAAATAAACGGAGCAGTTTCAGGGATGAGTAGTCGGTTGATGGCTTATCGTGGATTTACGAAACATTGACATCGCTGCTCTCGATTTTCACGATTTCTTTGACAGATATGTAGGTACTACTGCTGCACTCCGTTAACCTAGAAGAAGAAGAAGAAGAAGAAGATGAAGTACATGGCAAGTTCAATCATACAATACAATCATCGATGGTATTAAATGGATGATTAAAAATTGAAATTCTGCAGCATGATCATTTCTATGAATACACAATTACTACAAATATGCAATGCTTAACATCCGCATTTGACCACTTTGTCAAGCAGTTTGTTCAAGAAACGCGCAAATGATGGCTACTTTTCTAGAAGAAAAAATCTTAAAATAATGTTTTATTTCAAAGTTTGAGTGGTAGTAAACTTCATTTTAACTGCTCGAATGAAATGGTTTATTAATTATATATTCGAGCAGTTTTGATATGGTCTACTACCAGCAATAAATTCCAGATTTTTCAAACTGAGCATAAATGAGACCCAAAAATATCAAAAATTTGTTCCACGACAAAGTTTGATTGGTGGGAAACGTCATTTTAAACTGCTCGAATTATGTGATCCATCAACAACTTCATTTACTTCCGCTCGAAGTTCCAATAAAACATCATTTTAAGATTAAGTCTTCAGATTATTTTGAGATTTTGTATTCTAGAACCACGAGAAAAGTAGCCAACATTTGTGCGTTTCATAAAAAAAATAAAATTTAGTTGGTCCAGTTTTGTGAAATCGCAGGTAGAAAGTCACGCCAAAACTGCTTGACAAAGTGGTCAATTCGTAATTGACCACTTTGTCAAGCAGTTTTGGCGTGACTTTCTACCAGCGAGTTCACAAAACTGGACCAAATAATTTCTATTTTTTTATGAAACGCACAAATGTTGGCTACTTTTCTCTTGGTTCTAGAAGAAAAAATCTCAGAATGATATTTTATTTAAAAGTTCGAGTGGTAGTAAACGTCATTTTGACTTCTAGAATTAAGTGGTTAATTTTGAACAACATCTATCACATTGAATCATAACTTTTCGAGTTCATTCTGAAATCTCGTCCATTACACGACCGTTGAGCATAGCAATGTTTGAAAACTTAAGATGATGTTCTGATGTCGCTGATAATGTTTACTGAATTTCTCTGAGTTCCGTTTACTAAAATTCGCAAAAAACTACGGTCACTCATAGACTGAGTGAAATTTTCCTCATATTTGAGCAGATTGCCGCTCGAATATGAGTAACATGTACTCATACTCGAGGAAAAATTTACTCCGTGACCGTGGATACATTTACACACCATGTAGATTGCATTTACACACTTAGTCGAGCAGCTTGTAAGATGTGCTTCTACCAGAGATTACAAAAGTGAGCTGATAAATTGTAGATTTTTCAGGGAGAGCATAATTAAAATATTTCCTCGAGGTTCTTGATAAATATTGATTTGATTTTATATAATGTTCCTTCTGTGGTAGCAAACATAATTTTAAACTACTCGAATGATGTGATTAATTAATCATATTTGCGAGTAATTTTGAGACGACCTGTTACGAAAATGAAGTAACAAATCCCAGATTCAAAATATTGTTCCAAGTGGCAGGCGCGTAGGCTACATGTTATACCGTGACAGCGGGCCCAGCACAGCAAAATAAACTATTTGAGCCCGGGACATGCTGCCTACTGTCAAACGCTGCTGTTGGTATATAGGCCTTGTCACTGGCCTGGTTCCAAAGCATAGTTCGAGTATAGTCGCTATATTCATAGTCTGGTGGATAGAATCCCGGGAACCAATTGAGCTGTCAATTAGCGGAACCAATCTAGCAAATCACGACCAAAAACAGAAAAGATCACATCAGCTATTGGGAACAAAACTTCGGAAACCCTTTCCTTGTGACTCGAGGCTCGCCTACGCAAACTAACATCATCTTTGGGTTGGGTAAAGTTTGCCCTATCCAATGATGCTGGTAATTTGCGTTCAATTAATCATATTGTCGAGCAGTTTTGAGACGACCTTCTTCCAGCGATTTTACGGAAATGAAACAATTAATTCCAGATTTTCCAAGCATATTACAAATAAGACACTACTTTCTCGAGGTTGTAGAACAAAAAATATCAAAATATTGTTCCACGTTAAAGTTCGAGTGGTAGGAAATGTCATTTAAACTGCTCGAATGATATGATCCATTGGCGAGGAAATAATAATCAACGTTTTGTTTATAAAGGTTGATGGTACCTTTTCAGTTGTAAGTCTACAGTATATTGAATTGGTTCCGATTTTTGATAGATCTAAATTCTATCCGCCAGACTATAAATATAGCGACTATAAGTTCGAGTGGTATGAAACGTCATTTTAAACTGCTCGAATCATTGGTTTCATTGTGAAATATACTTCTACTAGGCTCTGATTTGATTCTTAAGTGTATTTAATACGTTCCGCTCTTAATTTATTAATATTCCTCAATATCGCTTAGACTGGAGCTACTCATGAACTGAGTATAAGTCTGCTGGAATATGAGTGATATTTACTCATATTCTAGCATATTCAGTCTTTGAGTAATCGCAGTTTTAACGGAACAGAGTGAATGAAAGTCAAATTAGAGCTGAATTATTCTGCCGTGTTCTAGCTGAATACACCTAACAAACATTTAAAGCTGAATAAGAGCATTTCAGACAAAAAGATAATTCTTCCGATAAAAAAATAGCTTATTCTGCTTTTAATCAGCTGAAATTGTGTGTTTGGATTGTGGCTCTGCACCAAACAGAAGTGTGCTAGTAGGACAAACAACTTCCAATGAGTGTTGTCAAGACTGAGGATTAATTTGTTAATCAACTGAATGTTAAATATACTACGGATTTGCGAACTCAGCCTAAAATTCTATAGATTTTTCAGAATCCAGGGGATTTTTTCTATCCTTTTTGAAAAAAAAATCAGGCAATGCAACGTTTTTGCTGCTTTTGGAAGACTGAAAGTGCTGAAAATCCCAAGACAGCCCCTTCTTTACACCAGTCGCGAGCTGTCAAATATATTTTTATTAGATTTTGCATTGTTTACTGGAGTGGAAAAAAACATACCAATCTACAGATCGTACTTCCGATCGTCCAATACAGCTTATGTCGTCATTAGCGACATAGCGAGACCAGTGATGCCAACGATGAATGTCACTTTGAGAGCGGTGTACATTCCATCCGAATGTGATCCGTTACGACAAAGTGAAAGCTATACGGTAAGAAAAAAGTACTCAACGACCAGTTCACTTTTACCTACTTTTGACTAAAGAGCCTGAATTTATAAAGAGGCGACATCTTATCCATTTGACAGGTCTTCTGCTCGATTGGAATGACTTTTCCTATGACTTTTACAGACAATCGATTGTTCCAATTCTGACATGTCGTCTCTTTGTAAATTCAGGCTCTTTACTTTTGACTTGTCTCGTTTTCTCCTTCTAATGTTGTCAAAATCGGAAGAGCAAAACCACTCCTCCTGTTGAGTGTGTAGTTAAGTGTGGGAACCCAACGCTGAGTATAATCATGTTTACCTACTTTTGGGTGCAACTAACTTACTTTTGGGTCGAAAGCGAGTGGAAAATTCCATACGAATTGCACACAAGTAACTGTAAACTACTTTGAAACGCTTTACTTACCTTTGGCTTCATGCAGATGAGTGAAAAGAACTTACTTTTGGGTACTTTTTTCTTACCGTGTATATCTATTGTCTAACTGTCTAATTTGCCGAAGTGCCGGATGGATTCGATGTCAATTATACAAGGTCTGGCCCAACCGGCTTATTGGTGTAATGAAATGTGAAAATGTCTAGTGGTGGTCGTATTTCATCGCAATGTTTATCTTTTTACACGAAACAGCTTTTTTCTGTGACGACACGTCTGCTAATCGCAGTATGGAATGTTGTGCTGCCGTGACATCGGCATTCGCTTGCTCAGCAATGTTTACAATATTTTTGCTGCTAACACTAGAAAGCTGCCTGTTGTTCCAGACCTTGTATGATTGACATCGGGATGGATTGTGTAGCGCTCTTAAGAATTGCAAAAGTATTGCTGTAGGCAGGGTTGTAAGGTAGTTTTTCAAGGTATCAATTAGCTAATTAACCCCTTCATTTGAGCAGTTAAAGTGAATTTATTTTCTCACAAAATACCCCAAAAATAAAGGTAGTTTGCTCTATCAGATGCTGGTGTTCGATTGTATTTATATTTTGTATTTGGGCTATACGCTGTAAGTCCGTTACTCTACTTAAAAACAAGACACAAAGTACATGTTTCACATATTACAAATTAAGCTGGTTTCTACCTCTAATCACTTCTGGCGTCATATGTGTAGAAATTACATCCGAATCCGTTCATAAATCTGCTTGTAGGCTCGTGCTGCGTGTAGGTTATTGACCTCAACGGAGGACCGAACACCCATCGGCAACGAAGAAAAACCGGGCTGGTTTTGAAGCTGAGCCGATCATAGAGGTTCACCAGACAGCAGAGGTCTTGGTATGCTGACAATTGTTCTCCACTCCATCTAGCCTTTGAAATTGCACCGCATACTGTGGTCGCCATATTATGCTCGCAAAGTCGAGTTTGTACCTAACGAGGCTAATGTAGATAGTTAGGCTGTGTTCCATTTGGTGAATTTTTACTTAAATTTGACAGATGGAAAATTTTCAAATAAACCTGCTATTCCAGCAGACTTATTTCTGACAGACAAGGAATAAATTTTGACAGACGCTTTCTCGAAAATCGGCCGATCAACAACAGAGGGATTTTCGAACATCTTAATTTATTTTCGAAGTGTCAAATCTAAGTGAAAATTTTCCAAATGGAACACAGCCTTAGGATTGCATGAGGATCAGTGTACGTCATAACGGAGCATTTGTTTGGATTTACACTAAAGAGGGTATAGTATAAGAGAGGAGCGGACTGGCTGATTTTGTGCCAAACGATCTGTCAAAGCCAGAGCCAATCGAGCAGCGCCTATCTTGATTGCATTGGCAGTGTTGCTAGAAATCACCTAGGCCTTGCTAATTTACACTAAGTCCGTTTGCAACGACACATCTTTCGAAGTTGTGCAAATCCTGTTGAAGCAGGTGGTAGTCACCGGTGACTTTCATTGGCAGAAGAGAAAAAATTAAATCAACTGCGTAGATGAGTACCTACTATTGCCTTAGTAATGAATGCGGGCAGTTTATTCAAAACCATGACAAGAAGAAGTTGATCCAGATGGCTTCCTTGCGGAACTCCTGAATGGACGCCAAAGAAGTGGGATGTATTGTTGAGCACCCTGACATACTGTATCCTGTCTTGTAGATATGTCTTAATCCGTTGCGTGGACGTGTTTTAATTCTCGAGAGATTTGCGTTTAAAGCCATTGTTTACGTTTGGTTGTTCCGCCTATTTCAATGGTAGATCTAGATATTCAGTTGATAGTTTGACGCAGCGTATCACATCTGGATATTTTTTGCGCCGACAACTTCAAGATTTGTTATAAATATGAATTTTTTGCTATCATTTCAACCCTAGCGTGCGCAGCAATGATGGTAAACATCTGTCTTACTGATCCCGTAAGTTATTTTATTCATTTGAGAGCTGTTTTGGGCCTGTGGAGCACCTTAAATTAATATACATACATGGGTTTTACA